CATCACAAGAGTGTGAAATGTATTAGCCGTGACACGGCAGCCGCTACGGGAGCCATTTGTAACAGGATAACAAATCACACTGAAAAATGTTAAGGCGATAGGTTCAGTCACTGGATATCGATGCAATCAGACATAGTAGCAACACCTGCGTTTTACTACACATGCTTGCCTTCACGGTAACCACAGAGACGGAAAACATTTCCGTCTTTGACCACTGTTTTTACACTTGCTTTTGTCTGGTTTCTGACTGTACAGCAAGTCTTTTAAATGCCGCTTGGCAGTACCGAGCGGTAAATATCAATAACGTCTGCCGTCTGACGTTCGCTGTATTTGTGTCGAGGCAGCATTTTAATGTTGGCACCGTATATCAGGAGCAGGCAGTTCTGCTGCAGCACGTTGTTTACTGTCTATGTTGAGAAGCTGAAAGGAAATATGGAGGCAGAAGGAGGCCGTCTTTGAATAAAGAACATTATGTTGGATCAAGGAGGTCAAAGGTCAATGTTTATTGTCACTACATGTGAGATTAGGAAAGAGTTAAAAACATGCTTGGATCAAACAAGTCACATTCTGAGCTGGATGTTAGCGACAGAGAGGACAGTCTTTCTGCACACACACACACACCCAGCCAGATGCACACATCTGTGTAAGCACACACACACAAACCCAGCCAGATGCACACATCTGTGTAACACACAAGTTACACACATGCTGACCTGAATATAGATGCACGGATGTGTTCCGCTCCGTTGCATCTCACTTGTAAAGCCTCCAGGCGTTTCCTACTTTCCCCGTCGACCTTGTGTGCGTGTGTGTTTGTGTGTTTGTTTGCATCAGTGGCCATTCAACGTGGCCCCGTTGTTAGAACATCTTTTCTTCGTCAGAAAAAGCAAACAGGCCCGACAGACAGTTTGACAGACACAGGAAGGCAAACAGAGCGACAGACAGCCACTGACATCATCTGGCCAGCAGCCTCTCTGTGCCGGCAAACATATGTCGCCTGATCACACAAGACAAAAGACAGACAGATGAGACAGTGGTGCAGCTTTCTGTTACTGTGTGACATCATCTGCCAGAGTGGGTTCCTTTTTCTTAGACAAGGAACTGATTGTAAAACCTGTAAAAAAAAAATAAAAACAAAATAAAAAAATACACACATATAGAGTATATATGTATATATATATTATATGTGTGTGTATTTTTTGTAAAATTTTAATGATATATATATATTTATGTATGTTATATATAAATATATATTTCTATTATTTATTTAATAATACATATATATTTACATATAAATATATGTTATATTATTATATATATGAAATTTTACTTGATTTATTTGCTTTCAGATCTCTCTCTCTCT